TTCCAGATGTGCAGCCTCTGCTTCAAGACACCTCTATGACCACAGCAACAAAAAATGTTGTGTATCAGCCAGGTATGCATGTTAATCCCCTAGTCAGTATTACATCAGATCTTGGGGCTAATATACCATTGACAACACAGGAAAAAATTTGGAATAATGAGTATATAGATCTTGCTAAGTTATTGCATTTAGATCCAGCTGCTGAAATTCAGCAACTGCTTGTGTTTGAAGATGGAGAAATTAAAATAAAAAATAAATCTAAGGATAGAAAAATTGTAAACATTTCGGAATGGACTGATTCCTTTTTGATTTATGCTGCCATCTACTTAAAAAAGTTTCCGCAGCACATTCAGGGCATAATTAAGTATATCAGTTCAATAAGGCTAGGGGCTTCACGGTCTATTACACTAGGGTGGAGGGATTATGACATTCAGTTTAGACTTAGGCGCTCAAAAAATAGTATGATCAGTTGGGAAAACATTGATGCAGAATTATGGTTGATTTACATGGGTCAGGCAGCAGTCACTGAACGCAAGCCTACTTCTAATTTGCACCAGCACAAGCGTTGTTATGATTTCAACTTGAAGGGTTCATGTCTTAAAAAAGATTGTAGATTTTCACACTCTTGTCTTGAGTGCGGCCAAAACCATCCCTCCATCAACTGTTACAGTAATCAAACCAGCCATAATACATCAAAAGGGGCTACTCACAATGTCGGTCGTCAAAACATCAATCCCAATGTGACCCAATCAAGATTTTCAAGGCCATTTCGGCAATAAAGATCCATGCCTTTGGGGTCTAGGTTTTACACCGATCAATGTTACCACTTTAAACATTTTGTTACAAGATTATCCAGAAAAAACTGAGGCAAATCAACTTTTACATGGGTTTACATTTGGTTTCTCATTGAACTATGAGGGTCTGTGGGATCCAGTATCTTGTAAAAATATGGTTTCAGCATTAGAGTATAAAGATGAATTGTTAGCTAAATTGAACAAAGAAATTGACCTAGGTCGCATAATGGGTCCATTTGATGCCCCACCATTTCAAAATTTTCATTGCAGCCCAATAGGAGTTTTAACTAAAAAAACAGGGTGGTTGGAGGTTAATCACCAATTTATCTGCTCCACATGGAAAGAGTATTAACGAATTCATTAATCCTGAAATTTGTTCAGTTAATTATTCATCTTTTGATCAAGCTGTTAGCATGGTACAAAAACTGGGTACAAATGCACAATTAGGGAAAATGGATATTTCAAATGCATTTAGGTTGTTACCAAATTAGACCCGAAGATTTTAGTCTGCTTGGTTTTAAGTTTCTTGATAAATATTATGTAGACAAATGTTTACCGATGGGTTGTGCCATATCGTGTGCTTTGTTTGAAAAATTTTCCAGTTTTTTACAATGGGTGGTAGAGTATAACACCAACTTGAAAAATATTGTTCATTACTTAGATGATTTTTTATTTGCTGGAGCTCATGGTACAAACAATTGTAAATATATGATGGATTCTTTTCAAAATATCTGTAACAGATTAGGTGTTCCTCTTTCAGAGGAAAAAACTGAAGGTACAACAACATATATAGTGTTCTTAGGTTTAGGTATAGACTCGGTTAATCAGTCAATTTTCATTCCAAAGGATAAAGTAGAATCTTTACAAAAAGAAATACTTGAAATTCAAGGGAAATCTAAGATTACATTAAGGCAGCTTCAGTCTTTAGCTGGCTCATTAGCTTTTATTACAAAGGCCTTGCCAGCAGGTAGAGCATTTACATGCCGCTTATATGGTTTAATGTCTGGTGTCTCTAAGCCACATCACTTTGTACGACTTTCCAAAGAAATACATGGTGACCTCCAAATGTGGTTAACATTTCTTGATGAATTTAAAGCAATATGAGCTGCAACTTTAATATCGGAAATTTTTGTTGCAATATTGTAATTAACTATTTCAATGACAGTAGAAAAGAATGTTTATAAACTTCTGTTGTTCATATTTGCAAAGAGGAACTATAAATTTATAAGCTTTAATTAAAACAAAATTACATTATTGTCGTCCTGTACAATATTGATTTCTTATATAATACTTTATTCCATTGTATAGAAATCTTTCTTCTAAAACATTTTAATATTTTATTTTAGTCTAATTGATTATAAAGGTTTAAATTACATACAGATTAATCATAATATCACATTTTAACAGCAAAATAAAATTTTCAAAAATGCAGCTCATATTGCTTTAATGGAACAACAAAATTTCCAGAATTGGAATGGGAATCTGACAAAAATGTACAATTTTATTCAGATAGCTCAGGTTCAGTGGGTTGTGGTGTGGTTTTTGGTACTTCCTGGTCTTATCTCTGTTGGCCACAGGAGTGGAATGTTGATATAAGAAAAGACATCACTTTTTTAGAGTTTGTTCCTATAGTTTTAGGATTTTACTTGTGGTCAGACAAATTACAAAATAAGAAATTAATATTGCATGTTGACAATATAGCTTTGGTTGAAATCTTGAATCAGAAAACATCTAAGAATAAACTGGTAATGATTTTGATGAGAGAATTAGTATTGCTTTCTTTGAAGTTTAATATTCAGTTTAAAGCAGTTCATGTAAGAGGTTGTATAAATGAGATAGCAGATTCAATTTCTCGATTGCAGTGGAACAGATTCAGGCAGTTAGCACCATGGGCAGATTGCCATCCTTATCAAGTACCTATTCAATTTTGGAACCTTTTGAAGGGCATGTCAATCATTTAATTGAAGCTAGCCTCTCCAACAACACAAAAATTGCATATGACAAAGCCATGGTTGTATTTAATGACTTCAGATTACAATTTAATTTGCCTTTATCTTGGCCACCTCCAGTAGATCATGTAATCAATTTTGTAGCTTTTCTAGCATCAAAAAATCTTTCTCATTCTACAGCTAATGTATATTTATCAGCCCTGAGTCACAGTTTGCAAGTGCATGGATTGGACAATCCAGTCAAATCTTTCATTGTGCAAAAAATGTTAATAGGTTTAAGAAGATCTAAGCCTACAAAAGACATCAGAAGTCCTGTAACATATCAGCTTTTACTAAAAATTTTGGATGTTTTACCTATGGTTACACATTCAAAATATGAGCACTTCTTATTTGGGTCTACATTTGCAACTGCATTTTTTGGTCTTCTTAGAATAAGTGAAATGGCAGTAGCATCAAATAAGAGTCGAAGAAATGTACTTCACCTTTCAGATTTACAGTTAAGTAATGAAAATATCAAATTAAAGTTGCGTTTTTCTAAAACAGATCAGAGTGGAAAAGGTTTAGTCATTACTATCAGCAAATCAGTAGAGTCAACAGTGTGTTTTAATTTGTTAGAAACTTTCTTGCAATTCAGATCTCTGGTGGATGGCCCTCTGTTTTGTCATATCAATGGTACACCATTATCGACATACCAGTTTTCAAGTGTATTGCACAAAACATTGAGATTTTTAGGTATTGAAACAAAAACTTTCAAAACGCACTCTTTTAGAATAGGAGCTGCTACTCACATGTATTTGTCGGGCATATCTGAACAAGAAATTCAAAGAAAGGGAAGATGGGTGTCAGATGCATATAAGCATTATCTCAGACCTGAGTTGATTACATTTTAGATGCAAATAATGCTATTATGATGGTTACATCATTGTCATATTGTTGTTAACCTGATATCAAAATTATAATTGGAGTTGGATTAATTCAATTGCTGTTTTCAAGTGCATAATTATGTAGATTGTAATCATTGCTTATGTATTGTTCATAAATCTTGTAGATTCAATCTGGATTGTGGGATCATCCCTTATTAAAAGAGCAGAACAATTTTCTTTGAGTTCTCCGGAATTTGGCACAGACCTTTCTTTACCAGGGGTAAAAGTGTTATGGAAGGGAATACCAGGGTTGAGTTTTGCCAAATTCTCTGAGGTCATTTCTGACCTGTCCTCTACAAAGCCACATCCGAGGTTTCTTGTTATCCATGTAGGTGGTAATGACATTGCCAAACATAATAACCCATTACGAAGACAGCAAAAATTTATGAAAACTGTTATCAACAAGTTGAGTTTGGTTATGCCTTTGACATGCATTGTCTGGTCACATATTTTGCCCAGGGTATATTGGCGCCATTCAATTTCAAATGTTGCTGCAGAGAAATCAAGATCTAGGATTAATAGTTCTATTGCTAGCTTTGTTTTCAAGTCAGGTGGTGCTTCAATTAAGTACCCTGACATCAGTATTGTTCAAAGTAAACTCTTTCTTAATGATGGAGTTCACTTATCTCCCTTAGGTAATTATGTCTTTTTGTCAACAATGCAGGCTGCTCTTAGGCAATTTTGCTCTGGTAATGGTTTTGTTTATCCATCAAAGTGAACAGTGCATAATTTTGGAATTGGAACTGTTGTGGCTTTATGAAGATGTTATGAAATAATTTGTGAATGGTATATTTTACCTGTGGTCAAAATTCAGCCGCTTTGATGGCGGTTGGATTTCATTATGCTTGAAATCCAATTGGCGCAATTTTGACAAGTAACCATTTGCTGAGGGATACTGTTGTCTCCAGGTCCCCCAGCTCTGATATGGTTTGTTTAATATTTGTGAATGCTATGCTGCCAAAAGCTTACAAGTGGTAAGATCGGCGCATAGGGCATGAACATGCGAGTGGCATGTTAACTGTGAATGTAATTTGTAATAAAAAGCCATGACAGTTCCGCCAATACGAGTTGTGTTATTCTTCCAAATTCTACAAGATGCATTTATGAGGTGTCTTGCATAAGAAAAATTCAAAAGCTGAGGTTATCAACCTTTAATAAACAGTTTTTATTAGTGTTAGGAATTTCGAAATAATCAGATTTATCCCTAAAAGATAAATACAGTTATTGAGAATGACGCTTATTGCTTTCTATTTTGAAATTATGTATTGCTTACAAAGAGCAACCCGTTTTCCGGAATTATATGGTCCTATCATGACGATTCTATGGTTAATAATACATCAGCATTAATGAGCATGCGCTAGATCTTTTCAACTCCCCATCTTGTTCAGAGCAGACGAAATCCCCTCCCTTCCCTCCCTTAAATATTATGGTTGGTTTGAGTTTTTAAATTTATTAAATAAATGTTTTTGGCTCCTTTTCTGCTGTGTGCTTTCTTTCAATTTCAGAAATCGTCATGGCTTATATACTGATGAAGAATACTGTGGACTTCGCTGTGTGAATGTGATAATCCTGACTGTTTTGTGTTAGCGCAATTTTGACAAGTAACCATTTGCTGAGGGATACTGTTGTCTCCAGGTCCCCCAGCTCTGATATGGTTTGTTTAATATTTGTGAATGCTATGCTGCCAAAAGCTTACAAGTGGTAAGATCGGCGCATAGGGCATGAACATGCGAGTGGCATGTTAACTGTGAATGTAATTTGTAATAAAAAGCCATGACAGTTCCGCCAATACGAGTTGTGTTATTCTTCCAAATTCTACAAGATGCATTTATGAGGTGTCTTGCATAAGAAAAATTCAAAAGCTGAGGTTATCAACCTTTAATAAACAGTTTTTATTAGTGTTAGGAATTTCGAAATAATATCCCAATTAACTATGTCCCAAGTTTTCTTCGATAGCAAATTATTACAAAGTTTTTTTTTTATTTGCGACGATTAGTTTCCGAGTTTATCAGTATGAATTATCAGCATTTCACTGGTTGAAATTGTCAGCTTCGAGTGACTTATAATTTGACTTGGAGAAAAGATGAAGGGAGGGCGGTGGGTATAGGAACAATCTTCACCTTTATCTTATGTATCGCTTCTCTGCCTAATTGTCTAGAAACATCGTTACAATTTTACAAAGATTCTTTATTGCGAATTAACAACCTTATGGAGAAAAGACGACGTTACCTTCATTTATCTATCAGATCTAAGCATAATTTGTGAATGGTATTTCCAGTGCTATGCTTTACTTTTTTATCCGACTACCGCATGCAGTTTACAGCTGAAGCATTTTTTTTTTTTTAGAGAATAAGTAAACATGTATATGTTTAGACCTGGTAATTGGTTGGGTAGATTGCTTTGTAGTGCTTATCTTTGTTGACTTAAGGGTTAATGTGATTATTTCTTCAAAAAGTTGAAAAAATAAATGGGGAGAAAAACGATTTTTAAAAGTCAAAACACTGCGCTCAATTTAACACATGTATCTAAAATCATCAAAAGAAAGCAAATGCTTTCGGAAGACACGTTTCATTAATTTTGGAATAAGTTGAATATAAAATTGTAACGCCTTTAAAGTTGCAGAAATTTAAACTATCTATAAAAGAACCTTCAAAGAGAAATTTAACTTCTGCTTTGCAAGAAACTCCAGCCGAAAGTCATGTAACTTCTATACAGACATCTCTTTTTTGATACATGTATAACGCAATCCCTTGAAAAATAATTTTGACTATTCATATACTGATGCGCTGGTGAAAACTCTCAACAGTGAAAAAGAAAAGGAAAGTAAGCTTTTGAAAATGGAAAAAAATCGTTCTGAGGTCAATAAAAATCCTCAAGATTTCAGTGAAAATAAAGGGGACAAAATAGTACATACCAATTTTAATGATTCTTATGCCTTTAGAATATAGTTTTATCCCTTTATCGGAATGAAAATAGACTACAATTTGATATCTTCACATTTTTTATGACAGTTTGAGGAATGGACAAGGACAAATTGAGAAATAAAATGAGTATATGAAGTTTTATCGTGTGTTGCGAATTTATAATTATGTCATGAAACACATTTAAAGAGAATTAACAATTTTGTCAATGTTATATACATATACCTTACATGAAATTTACTTAAAAAAAATACTTCAGATAAAATCCACCAAAACTTTCACAGCCTTAATGCAAAGTGTAGATTGCTTGTAGTATACTTCTACATGTAACAATAGATCAATTAGACCTCCAATTCTTTGAAGTTCAAAATGTTCTCATTAAACCCCAGTTTGACTCAGCTATACCAAACCCTAATTCTTCCACCTGTTTTATGAGATTCATTCATCACCCGTTTGATTATCAAACGAGATGACTTTCCATAGTTTTAGACATCATTCTGACCTTTTCTTTAAAATAACAATCTTTTTAATGGAGATAAACCAGAATGAACCGTTAAAATATGTAACTATTTCACTGTTCTACTGGAAATGAATTGTCTCAGGAAAGTGTCAGAGAGAGAGGGAGTCTCTTCACAGTGTGATGACCAGATAAAAGTTAACTCGCGCCGAGTCAATATAATGATAAGACGACTTTTAGTGATTGCCATCTTTTCAACACAGGGCACTTCACAAAGCGTCGATAAGGACATGATCTCGGTCCGATAAATGTTTTGATAAAATTTAAACAAAAGCTTTAAAAAATTTGAATTGGCATTCTTTAAGAAAAAAAGAATGAAAACACGATTGACCACGCGACTTTTTGGTGGCGGCTGGGGTGATTCACGTTTAAGGATTGAAAAAAAAAAGTTGAATAAGAAACATTCTATATTTGTCAGTTCGCAGGGGGCCAAGGTAATCGGTACAGCCCTTTCTTCAAGTAAAAGAAAATCTTTAAAGTCAATTATAATATGAGAATAGCGCTAATAGACGGAAATTTTTCCTGACATTTGAAGAATAAATGTAATATTACTTACCGATGCATAAAGATGACACGAAGGTGACTGTTGCAATTTTAGACGAAGTTTTTACTTTCTGAATTTTCCATAATCACTGAAGCAAAGTTTTCCCTTTCAAAACAATTGTAAACTATTTAGATTAAAGTGTTTCAATGCAAGTCAGATGATCCTTGAAGATAATAAACTGAAAGAAATAGCTCAAAGATATTCTTTGTATTTGGAACAAGTTAAACATTTTGTTAGATAATTAAAGGTATTCAGAAATCAGTTTTAATTGAAATGTAAGTACTGAGAGTGTAATTATTAAATAACTCTTTTTTTTTGTACATTCAAAGTGTTTAACATTGAGTTATTAACATTGGTGTCATGTAGGTGAAATTTATTTACAAAAGGTTTGGTTATTTCTATTTTTAAATAAATCAAGACATTTACATTGGATCAATGTCTCTCACAAGTAAACAGACTTAGTTTGCATTAGACATTTTGAAAAGGTGTTTCGAATTAGCAGGAAGAATTACAAAATTTCTTAGTTTCAAAACTTATTTCGCCGTCGTGTCCTCAAACTGGCGCCAAGGAATATTTAACCAAGCTTCCATAGATGTCTTCGCCTGTTCATCTGTTGCCTTTCTGTAAAGAAACATATTTGTCAAACACTTGAATCCCGCTGTACTACTCATTTGTGGTAATCTACTTGAAACTTTAGAATGCTGTCAACAAAAATATAACAGATTAAATCGAAAGGAAAGATGTGGTGATAATTTTCCTGTCCACACGTTTTGTCTTTGTTTTTCTTTGGGAAGGGTAAGGTAACACTATCTGTTTGTTAAAGCAGTCAGATCTCTACTTTTTAACTCTCATTTTCGTAGAGAATCAAGTATTGAATTGATGATTTAAATGATAAAAAAACTTAAATGGAGAAAGTACATGTTTTTTCTTATATTCACAGATGTTGCTAGTAAATATATATTCTTGATGTGAAAAACAAACGTTTTGGAAAAAAAGAAAATCAATAAATGTAAACGATAAATTAAGAACTGAATAAATAATCCCAGTTTTCCTCCGTCAACAAACTGGGAATTCCAACATTTAGCAATAAAATAGCAAATCACAGATATAAATTAGCAAAAGTTGCACGTTCATATACATATAGTGAATCCTTAATTTTATGTGCTTTAATTTTTAGAACCAGCGATTAAATTATCTAAATGTTTGAAAAATCATTTTAAAAAAGGACAAAAAGTTGAAGCAATATGGGTATGTAATATGTTCAACACTATTAATTTTGTATTTTATGTAATTAAATATGATTTTTTCTCTTTAGGAAGAATATAAAAATGGTCTGGATGAATATTTTGACAAATTTAACTTATTACATACACAGCTTTGGAGACTTCGCCTTCTGTATATATATATATATATATATATATATATATATATATATATATATATATATATATATGACATATGGCTTTAGGAGACCAAGGAGGATATATTTTCTGGCTTAGGGAGACCACTGGATTAAGGCGACCTTTTTCGGTCTCCCTATTATTTTGACCTCATCAGTATTGCAAATGTCTTTTTGTAGATAAATAAACAGTCTGCCATTAAATATTATTAATCTTTAACTCTGTTATTTAACATTCAAAAGTTGTCTAATTTCTATCATCTTCCCTAAAAAAGAAAAGAATTTATAACCTACGTATAATTTCAAAGGATAATTTTTCTGCATTTTGGAGACCATGAAAAACATGCAATTAAACAAAAAATCTAGCATATATATTTTTTCCGCTTTTGATTTGTTCAAATGAGTGTTTCTTTAACTTAGTTTTCCATGTTTTATGTTAAAAACCTAAAAAGGAAAAATATTGTAAATTTATGAACCATGTTTTGAATTCTTAGCAAGTGCTTTCCGTCATTTGTTCCGAATGCCATCGGAATGCCCCTTCAGTTTTCAGAAAATGACCTCTGAACACCATGGATGTTGAGAAATTTGGGTAAGTAACTAAAATGATACAGTAATAAGTTGTAATTAAGAATACACAAGACAAACATTCGTTTGGTTTTTTAGGGGTTTTTTTTTTTTTTTTTTTGCCTAGTAATTTAGCTTTCAAGAGAAAAAGTATGATTTTAAATAATCGTTAGACTATAGTTCGATATATAAAATCCAGAAGGAAATTCGAAATAAAGTTAAATGATAGGCCCCTATATTTTTTTTAATTCTTTTATGCAAGTCCACAAACAAATTAAATATTTAAAGATTAGGCCGAACGTTGAAAAAATAGTCTCGCAAGTTGACGCAGCTATTTCGAGCTTAAAAATTTAAATTAAACTTTCTGTAAACATCATGCAGGACATGATCATCATGATATAGTATGAATGAAACAGACCCTGTAAGAAAAAAATAGCTGTAATTTAATAATTGTTTATTAACATAATGTGGTCCTCTGCTAATAGAATATATATGCTGTAAAAAAAAAAATCTGAATCAGGGTGAAGCAGATTTGATACAATACATGGCTGAAGGAACGGGGGGGGGGGGGGGGGCTGGCCCCCTGTAATTTTGCTGAAATTTAGGTATACTATAGAAAACATTGCTCCTTTATGCTTGGGCCCCCTCAATAATAACCTCTGATGATCTATTTTTCTTTTGCTTTTGGGCCCCCTCAATAATGACCTCTGATAATGTATTTTTCTTTTGCTTATTAAAAATTTTTTGGTTTGTAGCCTCCCCCAACCTGAAACTGAAAAATGTTGTTTGGTTGTGCTCACCCCCCCCCCCCCTCCAACTAAATTACGTACGGGCCTATTCTCCA